GAGGAACATTTTACCCAAAAGTTGGTCCCAACAGTTAATAGACAACTCGAATCTTTCTCATCACATCCTTCTATCCTATTCATCATTGTTGAGTACTCTAGTATAAACATGTGTGTCAGGCTACTTTAACTCCCCACTTACAGGGTTTTGACGCATACAGGTGACCAAGAGTGTAAGCCTCTCTTTTTGAAGGTTCATTCAACTTCTTTATCAAAGGATAAATAGTGGCATGTAAATGAGTTTTATCTTGATATGGAAGTGCAAAGTGAAGATTTGGTACACATTGATATTGGATTAGTCAATAGATGGGGGGTTATTGTTCATTACGAACTTACTTATTAGCTGTCCAAGTTCGACTTTGTTCTCCAAAAGTCATGGAAACTCACGTATTTTATGCATTGTCATTCTTGGGTGCTTAATTAGTGAGGAGGTACACAAAGGATGGGGAATTGGAATAACTGGATCTCAGAAGTGTTATTGTGTTTTGTGTTTCGAAGAGAATATTATAGGTATAGATCAAGTTTAGGGCTAGGTTTTTACTAAGAGTGGCTAATTGTCCCTCTCCGAAGATGAGCAAATGCTAAGAAAGTTTACAAGCTATTGTTATCTAATGCAAAGCTACAACTAATCATGGGTTTTCCTTCAAAGGCGTTCAAATATTGTTATCTAATGCAATGCAAATGTTTACTTCTTGGTAAGTTCTAAGATTTTCAGATGAAGAAACAATTTCCTAAATGATGCCAATCTTTGAAGGTGTGGATAAAGCACTAAATATTCTAATTCAACACTATCTAGAGTGATGTTGGCTTGATTAGGGTTTGCAACATTAAAATCCAAAACATTTTGTGGGAGATGGAACTGGGGCCGGCCTAAGCCCTAGACAGCTAAGGTGCTTGCCTAGGGCCCCCAAAAATATTTATTTATTTTTAGTACAATAGGCCTAATTTTATATATATATATATATATATATAGTATCTAAATTGTAAGGCTTAAATTTTAAAAGTTCAAATTAATATTTAATTTGTTAGGTCTAAAATTACTCTCTATTTAGTTAAGCTTAAATTTTGGAGGACATCCATGAAATTTATCCTTTTAGTATAATAGGTTTTTTTTTTTTTTTTTTTTGTATTTTAGATATAATTCAAATATTTAGGGCCCAAATTTTAATAGTTCAATTTAATATCTAATTTTGTTAAGTCTAAAATTACTCACTCTTTATGAGATTTTATTATAGTTTTTCTAGTTTTTTGGGTGTTTTTATAGTTGTAGTCTTGTCACTCACATACAAAATTTATATACATTATTTCTTGTGGTAAAAATTTATAAAATTGGTTCATTTTTTATCTTAATTTAAATTTCCAGTCCAAATAATATATGCTTAAATTGTCTGTGTTATCATGGTTTTGTACTTAATGCATGTACATAACTTAGTGGATAAATAATGATTCTTTATTATATTAAAATTATTCTTTGCTCCCATATTTTATCATTAAATTTTTTGTTCAAAACATAAATTGATAAAATCTTATTTATGTTAAACTAAGCTTAAATGAATTAACTATATTATCTATTGAGAAAGATTTATTGTCAAATCTTGAATTTAAAATTTTGATCAATATTTTGCGTTTCAAAAAATAATTTTTTAAAATAAATAAAAACTAAAAATAAAAATAAAATAATTAACATATTAGTAGGGCCCTATATATAATTTTTGTCCGGTGCCCCACTTTTCCTTGGTTCGCCCCTAGATGGGACAAGGATATTTAGGTTGGGGAGTCTTCTTTCTCGTCTTTTTCCTCATCGTTATAAACTTTTATGCTATAATAGTCATTATGTCTCTTCTCTTGCTTGGTCTTACTCTATCCTTATTTCTTGGGATTTTGGTTTCCGTAGGATTCTTAATGATAAAGATTGTTCGGAGTTATTGGTGCTTATTTCCATTTAGAGTATTTATCCAATGGGTGTATTTTCATGTAAATCATTCTTTGAGTCTTTAAGTGATGAATCTACACTTCTTTTTTTCGTTCCAAAATGGAAGATTTGGAAAGTCAATGTGCCTTTAAAGGTGCAAATTTGTGCATGGGTGATTACTCGTGGTAAGATTAATACTAATGATGTATTTTAAAGAAATAGACCTAGGACTAGTCTTTTTCCACAGTGGTGTGTGATATGTAAAAATGATGTTGAAAGTGTGGATCATTTATTTTTGCATTACCCCTCAACATTCTCACTTTGGAATAAGTTTTTTAATTTTGTGGGACTTTATTGGGTGGCGCCTAGCTCCATCTTTTCTATCATGTGTTAGGACGATATGGGGTGGGTGGAAATAGGAAGATGATGACCCTTTGGTGGTGTGCTTTCTTTGCTATTATTTGGGTCATGTGATTGGAAAGAAATGCGAAATCTTTGAAGACAAAAACAAGGAGGTGGAAGTATTGTGGGACTGGCTGGTTTTCTTGGCTTCTTTTTGGGCACCGATGACTAAGGAATTTGCAAATATTCCCCTTTTTGTATTACTACGACTTGGATAGCTTCGTGTGGCATGTAGCAGGGTTATTTCCCGTTGTTTGCTTTTTTATTTTTTTTATTTTATGTGCGTTTTAATCTATCTTTGGGTTGGGTCTCTTATCCACCAGATATAGGATTTGTAATTTTTGTATGAATGCTCATTACTAAATTTTTTGTTTCCTTTCAGAAAAAAACTCATTAAAATCCGAAGGATATTAATGTTCTCACTTAGGATATTCAAGTTTGAACTTACTTGTTTTATTTTAGGCTTAGTTGTCAAACCTTTTTTTTTGGGTCCAACCTAGCTTGGAACGAAAGTGATTAGGCTTGGTTGGAAAATTTTAAGTTATAAGGGAGGGAATAACTAAAATTCAGTGATTGTTGTCCTATGGAACCTTAAATGGACTCAGAGCGGCTGAATAATTGTTTTTCAAATTAATCAAGATTATTCAAAACTTAAGAACAATGAGACCAATTATTTGTGTGATGCTTGTAAGATTATGCCCATCAATCAATTATTCAATCAATATTGTAATAATTTTTTGAATGCAAGTGTGTAAAGCAGTCACACAGGAAGAAGAAGAAACACGATTCTTTATGTGGAAACCCAGAAAGAGAAAAACAATGGCACTTACTCTAGGCTAAATCCACTAGATACAACTTTACCTAGGTTCAAGACTCAAGAAACTTACAACACCTCCAACTTTATGGACTGGTTATTTATTCTTGTCTTGAACTTGCTCTTGAATCCATAACATCTTCGAAACCTCCAGCCACCCACCTTGAATTGTACTTCCACAATCATCTAATCAAGCAATCTTTAAGATTGATTCATCACTGTTCAAGGAATCGTGGATCCTCGAACTCCGTTCTCAAATCTTTTGTAGCTATCCAACTGTTTATGAAGGTTTGCTAAATGTATCGGGTTGTTCACACGAATGACATAAAATGTAGGCGTTTGATCTCTCAAAGTGTTTTCCCAATTCTCCAATAGTTTTGCTCCAGTCACTTGGTTGACTAAGGTTGATCTCTCTCAAGTGTATGCATTCCTTTTCCATTGATTTCAATCCTGGCCCCTGTTTATAGCTTCTCTTATTTATATTGGAAAAGTCCAGTCCATTTTGGAAACCGAATCTGACAAATCTGGACGGACTACTTGACTGCTGGCTACTGGCCAAGAATTCTTGACCTGAATGAAGCATGATTACTCAATCGCTTAAAGAGCTCTAGTCTCTGGAATGAGATTTTCTTTTCCAACATTGCACTAATGGTTCAAGCACTGAAGCAAGCTCTATGGAGAGTATCGGGTCACTTGTTTAGCCATCTAATTCCAAATTTCAAACACCTCTTTTTGCAGCAAGGGGTGTTGCTCATTTGGGTTCCATACCTTGATCTCAAATGTGTTTCAAATATATTTTTCTGAGTTGTAGTGACGTAAGTCTTTTAGGGATCTCTAAGACTCGGTCAATGTCCATTTTAACATAATTAAACCAATCTAAACTCTCTAGCTCTCTAAGTCAGCTTGTTGTACCTAACCAGTGGATTCCACGATGTTGCTTTAAATCATCTCAACTTACTTTCGGTCTTCAATCTTGAAAGCACTTGACCCAATGGACTTGTGGCAATGCATTTGACTCAATATTCAATACATGTGATTCACAGAATTATGCCAATATACTCACAACATAGCAAATGAGAACACCAAGTTTTTCCACGAAGTTGTGTTCTACCAAGAAGAGCCTTCTTCATCCACCAAGAAGAACCTTCTCCAATAGCCCTTGAAAAGCTTCCCATCCCCTTCCATTAAAGCCTTTTGAAATAATTAACCCTCTTCTTCTGCCGTTTTTCATCATCTGGGTAATCCTGGCATACTCCCCAAACCTACTATTCTCTAATTCAATCCACGAACAATATCCATGATTCCTGAATTTTCTGAAGAAGACATCCCTTCTTTCCAAAATGAAGCATCAAAGATCATTTCCTTGAACCATCTCAGACAACTGTTATTTGAACTGACTCTCCATGCACACCTTCAAAAAGAACGCTAAAACGTTTATGATCAATCTTAATCTCCATTTCAAACAATCTCAATCTCGGAAACACCACCCCTCTTTCTCTCAGAAGCTTTTGTTTGAGTTTGGAGATAGTTCGCAGTCAGTGAAACAATTCAGTTCTGTCCCAATAGATTCAATGTGTGCATCAAATAACTCAAGAAAGCTAAATTTACTGAGTTTACCTTGTATCTAATACATAGCACAAATTAAAAATATTGTGACCATTTTGTAAGCCAGATGAAGCTGTCCGACCCTTCATAATGCAAACAGAGGAACATTCTCAAAATCCTAGGTGATCGAACCCAAAAAGATGTATGTTCTTCCACGTCTCACCTGCTATTGAGCCCGGTATAATTGCTCGGTATAATTGCTTATAAGAAGTCCTACGGTTGCAATCTTATCATCTTTTGTAATTGGACTGTTTTATTTTCACCACAGCCATTCGACAGACTGCCAAAGTAATTGATGGGAAGTCGATTGCTGATGAAATTAGACTAGGAATTACCAGTGAAGTAAGCAGGATGAAGAAATCCACTGGGAAGGTTCCTGGCTTAGCTGTAGTTTTGGTGGGTCAAAGAAAGGACTCTCAGACTTATGTTCGCAACAAAACAAAAGCTTGTGAAGAGGCTGGAATGAAATTTGTGATTACCGAACTGCCTGATAACTGTACAGAAATACAAGTTTGTAATGCTTTGTCAAGTTATAATGAGAATCCATCAATTCATGGTATTCTTGTACAGCTTCCTCTGCCACAGGTGATTTCCTCAACTGTGCTATAAACAGAATTGCTCATATTCTTCTGTTTAAAACAAAAGATGAGTTTCTCGGGCACTCAGATATGCTATTGTTTCTATAATGCTGCCCCTTCTAAATATTATGATTATCATTTCCCTAAAGGCTTTGGCTAGAATTCTGATTCTACTGGTTTGCTGAAACATCAGGATCTACTCTTTGCTAGTTACCATCTTGCAGACATCCTACCCTAGGAATAGAAGTAAATTATGTGGTCCTTTTTTGCCCCATAAAATGTGAAAGATGGCAACGATCATTAAATTTAACTGCTCTATGTGCTAACACCCTGTAAGTGGTTGACGAATCAAAGCAAATAAATAAGACCATTTGAACGGCTTGATAGAATAATGATATTATGGAAAACCGACTGGATTGCTGCCACTTTGAAAGAAAGCTTTGAAAACACTCAGTTGCCCAAGTATGCCCATTGGTTTATGGAGGTTGTTATTGACCAAAGAAAAAATTTCTACATTGAATGCTGACAAACTGTAATGACTGAAACAGCATTTGGACGAGGGCAAGGTTTTGGATCTGCTGAGGCTGGAAAAAGATGTGGACGGCTTCCATCCTCTGAACATGGGGAATCTAGCAATGAGGGGAAGGGAACCGTTGTTCATTCCTTGTACTCCAAAAGGTTGCATTGAGTTGCTGCTCAGGTCGGATGTGAAAATAATGGGGAAGAAAGCTGTTGTGATTGGGAGGAGCAACATTGTTGGGTTACCTGCATCCTTGCTATTGCAGGTACACCATCTCTCTTCTTGTTCTTCTTTCCATCATCTCACAATATCTTGTGGAATCAATGCTTCCCAATGAGATTAAGTGGGCATTTCTTCATCTGGTTGGCAGAGGCACCATGCTACAGCAACCTTAGTGCATGCATTCACAAAGAATCCAGAGCAGGTCACCCGTGAAGCAGATATTGTGCTCACAGCAGTGGGAGTGCCAAATCTAGTCCGTGGCTCCTGGCTAAAGCCCGGTGCAGTTGTTATTGATGTTGGAACATATCCAGCGGAGGTAATCATTAGGTTTTTTCTTAATCATGGATACTGTTAGTATTGCACAGTGAGAGATTGCAGTGAACAACTTTTAGCGAACATATGGCTGTTGAGAAACACACACCCGAATTGTGGAACAAGAAGAATGACAAAAAAAGGGTAATTTCTAATGACACCTCTTGACATAGGGTTTTTTAATAGAGGCACTCCTTAACAGTTCCAAACGAATTGGGGACCACAATTGGATACTTTAATTGAGGAATAACTTAATTTATCTTTCAAGATCTTGATCAAAATTGGTTAGAGCCAAAACAGACAAGAGAGTACTGACCAACATCACCTTCCTCCCCCCCCCTTCCCTCTCTCTCTTGTCATTATAGCCCCACAACCCCTCCCTTCCCTTGCTTGTGACCTCGTGCCCAGGGAGTTAGAACCGCCTCCCACTATGTGCCTCTTTTTTCTCTCAAAGTTTGCGTTTAGTGTGTTCTGTGTTATGCATGTTTGTTTGTTGTGTTTGTGTGTGTGTGTGTGTGTGAGAGAGAGAGAGGAGAGAACATGAGGTGTTTTGAATATGAGGTTAATTTTGTTTCAATAAGCATTAGGTTTTTAAATAGGACTATTTTGTTCTAATAAGAGAGAAGGGTGTTAGGAAATTAATTGTAATTGATGAAGTCCTTGAGGTCACTTTGTTCTTATATCTCAACTAAATTCATGGTCAAGAATACTTATGAAGATTGAAGACAAAAGCAAAAATGTGTTGAAGAAGCTTAAGCTACATTGCAACATGAAGAAGATTTTTTGGATTCCATCATCTTTAGGGGAGGTAATGAGATCTAGATACCTAGTTTACCTTAGATTGGTTTAATTTAGCCTGTTAAAATGGATTTGAAGTGTGTATTAAATCCGTAACATGACTTACGTGTTTTTGTGTAAAAATGTTTTTGAAAATTTGAGGCTTTATTTTTGAAAACGTGTTTAAAATAAGTTAAGACATGGAGGGTTTTTAGGTACTACCCTTTAGTACTTAAAGAGTTGAAAAATAGCAATCAGTGGATAATGCGCTCTAAGGCTCTTGAGAGGTGAAAAATGGACTGGGCATTAAAAGAGCATTCCATTGCTCAGCGTTTGCTACAGAGCTCAAGCGCTGCCTGTTCATAGCTGGTAGAAATCCTTTCCAATAGTCAGTGCTCGAGTGTGCGTCATGGACAGTTTTTTTTGCACGTAAATCTACCTCTATTTTCTTATTCTTATAAATAGAGTATGTGTTCTCTGACTTTCTAAACATTAAAAAAGACACAAGAAAGATTCTAGGATTTAAGAGAGGCTTCAAATATACAGAGAAACTTACTCTAGCTCCAATCAAACCCCAATCCCTATATTATCTACCAATAATTCGTTAGAGAATTTATGCTAGAACTTTCAAAGATCTTGTAGAACACCAAAACCTACAAGATAAAAGATATAAGGAGGCTACCAAGGATCAGGGAATGATTCTAAAAGAGATAAAGGAGGATTTGAAAGAGTGGATCATGGAGTTAGATAAATTACCTATTGAATCTAGTCGTCAAGAGCTTGCGGTAGATTTTTAGGGCAAAGATTCAAGAGAGAAGATGGCTAACCATGGTATTGGTTGAGGTATGAGTCTTTAAACTTGTAATCGAACATTGAGACTAGTGGATTAGGTTTAGTGGACTATAGTCCAGTGGTTTTTTCCCAAGAGAGTTTCCATGTAAAAATTGTTTGTGTTGTGTGTTGTGTGTTGTGCTTGCTTTTCATAACTACAATTTTTACTTTTCTCTAAGTTTTTGATAAATTACTCGAGTTAGTCCGACTTGTGGTATTGGCCAGTTTAATTGCTTAACTCAATTTGATTGAATTGGTGGAAGGGATTGGAGTGAAAGGGTTGGTGGATTGTGCTTGATCGGCATTGAATTAATTGGAGATTTTGCACACATTCACTAATTAAGTCATTGAGTTGTTAATTGCATGAATTGGTTGATTAAATTGTAATTGAGTGAGATAGGTTTTATTTGGGCATAATTTTCGCATTTGTGTGTAAGACCTATTAGATCCCCTCCCTCCTTCTATTTCAATTATGTCTATTTTAGCATGTTGAGGTCGATATCTAATTCATACTCCCGAAGGGGATGACATTCTTTAAGCCTTATTTTGCCAACTTTTCCTGTCACGGAGATTTTTGTTCCAACATACTAAAAGCAAGGGGTCATCGGGCCAACATTGAAATGCCAATGGGTTTTGTCAGTTTCTCCAAATGCCAAGCGTAGTGGGGGAAATTTAAATCAACTGTATGTCTATCTGCCCTGGGTTGTTTTCTATGTGTAATGTAAGTGTTTGATGTCCAGGATTCCAATAACGAGCATGGCTACCGTCTCATGGGAGATGTCTGTTATGAAGAAGCAGTGAACGTAGCTTCGGCAATCACCCCTGTGCCCGGGGGAGTGGGACCTATGACAATTGCCATGCTGCTCTCCAACACTCTTGAATCTGCCAAGCGTGCACTCAACTTTGCATGACAAGTACTCGTGTTTCTGCAAGGGTTATACGAGTCTATGCTTCATCGTGTGATAAACATGTACATTTGGCAACTGTGTTGTACGGGCGCACAAGCTTGCCTGCAAGTAATCCCACCTCAAACTTCGATCTCGTGATAAATCTGCTCAAACTTCCATCTTCAGGATAAGTCATGCGCTTTAAATAGTTTATAATCGGATTTTAGGACAACAGGATAGATCTCAGTTCTGTCCACTCATTCATGCGTCTTGATTATTAGATGCCAAACTGGGTAACGACATGGGAGAACCGGGCTTTTCCTAAGAATCACTACAGTTTTCCCACTGCCTTTTATGGTTGTTTGCACCAACAATCTCCTCCATTTACCAACCAAATCTCTCGGTTTTAAAGCAATATATTGGAAGCAGCTGTAGGTCATAGTACATAAGAAGGCGAGGGCGGATTTTCAGTCTCTGTTCTGAATCAGATACATATAGTTTCTCGGGACAATATTGATAAAGGGTGTCGGTCAAATTCAAGTAATACAAGAGATGTCCTTGCAGATAGAGTAATTTAGTAGCGTAGATAAATTTATCCAATAAATAACCAGAATATGGTGTTAAAAACAAGGTAAATGATACTTTAATCCCCTAAATTATGGCCTTAATTCACTTTGCTGCCATTGAACTATTACTTTTTCACATTTTTTTTCAGTAACTTTTATTTTGTATTGTCCCAATTGCAAACGTTTATTATATTTTTGAACGAAAATTATTGAAATGTCAAAAAAAATAAAAAAAATCATGTAGTTGAGGAGAAAATGAAATAATTTTTATTTAATAATTGGGACAATGTGAAACTAATCACATGTTAATTTAGTATTGAATTGTGGCACCACCACTTGTCAATGGTGGAATGGTGTCACAATCACATTCAATATTTTTTCCATATAGGTACAACACTCGCAAAACCATGCATCTATGAAGTATTGGGATTACACCAAAATAATTGCATACTGGGGAAAAAGCAAAAAAAATAACTGAATATGTAAATTGGAAGAACGATAAAAATAAAATAAAAAAACATCCTAAAAATGGAGTGAGACCAACCTTTTCCCATCCACACTCGTCTGTCTGTAAATAGCTTATCCATATTTTGGGAAGAAAAACAAAACAAAAACCTGCGTAAATTGCTTTTCACAAGATAGTTTTAACTGGAAAACGAACACCACAACATTGAAATAATTGCTACAGCCACGATCAATACAGGCTGGGATTACCTTTACCATGTACATCAAGTGTAAAGCATCAAATGCACCCATGTTTAAAGGGTGAACGAAGAAACCCACACTAGATGGTATACATACAAATCATATTTCTCATCTAACACGGCATGCAGCAGGGCCACCTGGGGAACAATTTGGGTTAGGAGACCGACAACCAGCACCAACAGCGCCAGCAAACCTGTGATGCAACCGGTAATCTGGGATCCCCCCCAAGGCAAATGGTCTGCCACCACGCATCAGGGTAGGGGTTGATGATGATGTTGAAACTTCTTTTGCCCCACCACCATTGCTTTGTAGAGGCTCTAAAGTCTCAACCACATCACTCATTAGGGGTCTTGCTTTCGGGTTCTGACTAAGGCAATAGTACGCTAAGCTGCAAGCTTTCTGTGCTGCCCTTACTGAGTATTGATTCTCTAATCTGGGGTCAATTATTTGCAGCATTTTTCTCTTGTCATTTAGCTTTGGCCGGGCCCAATCCACCAAGCTCTGCTCCTTGCTTGGTCTCGTCTTGTCAACAGACTTCCTTCCGGTTAACAGCTCTAGAAGGACAACTCCGAAGCTGTACACATCGCTCCTGGCAGTAAGGTGTCCTGCTCATATCATGAAAACCTCGATTCAGTGAATGTGTGCGCACAAAGTGACATGAAACAAACACAAACAACTCTCAGTTTTGATCAAGGATGACAGCGAAATATTTTAACCAAACAGAATATTCTCATAGATATAATATCCAGAAATATATGCCAACAGCAGTGTAGCATTACTTTGTATGGGGAACACAGGTACATACACAGCATGTCTACACATGAATAGACACTAGTGTTTCTACAATTAAAAAAAAAAAAAATGTGAAAATGATTTTCCTTTGAATAATCTTCATTTTAGTAACTTCCTTGTCCTTAAAGTTGGCTCTGGTCTGATTGAGATTATAGCTTCCTTTGTAAATTAATGAATGGACCAGATAATACTATCACCTTCCCATATTCAAAATCACTCCTGATATTAGTCAATCACTTGAATTCACAGCATCAAAATCAGATTCCGTTCCTTCATATAGTAACCAGTTATCTCCTTTCCCCAAGTCATTTTTCCAATTCATTAAGCTGTGTCTATGGGTATTATTATTTTGACATTAGCAAGGGATAAATGGATGCTCATCACTAAATCCAGGATAAGAAATTAGAAGCCATACCAGTCATTACATATTCAGGGGCTGCATAACCATAGGTCCCCATTACTCGAGTTGATACATGAGTTTCATCACCTTGCGGCCCAGCTTTGGCAAGCCCAAAATCAGAAAGCTTTGCTGTATAATCCTGCAGGTTCACAGACAACTAGCAGATTAACAACAATTTAATAGTCCTTCCAACAAAAGGTTGCAAAGAAAAATTAAACAAAATTGCTAGAAGGAGAATAAAATCATAAAGAGAGTCCCCAACAGTGTATACCAGGAAAACCACTTACGGAGTCCAATAATATATTTGAGGTTTTGAAGTCCCGATAGATAACGGGCCTCTCAGCATTGTGAAGGAAAGCAAGCCCTTTTGCTGCCCCAAGAGCAATCATCATTCTCGTTGACCAAGATAACGGAACAGTTGCCTCTGAATGCCTCAAGAAAGTCCACATCAACTTAAATTAACTATATCGATTCATTTATTAACAAATTATGGCTTTATACATATCATTCAGATTACAATAAATCCAAACAATGTTTACGCATCACCAAGAAAGCATGGGAATTAAAGTCCTTGTATTGATATTCTCATCACTATATTGCATCTTCAAGATAACTATGAATTTTTTTTTTTTTTGGCAAAACTGCTAAAGAAAACAAAATTAAATGGTTATAGATTCTAATTGTTGATCTCCGACAAACAATAAATATAATCTCATTTGAAACACATTTCTTAAAGTCTCCTTCAACAGCTAAAAGTTGTATGAAGAAACAGTAATTCTTTGACTTGTATGGAAGAGATTTCCATTTCAGCTTTCACCTTTTAAACTAGTCATCAGTCTAAGTCCTCCACAAGTCCTTAAAATAATTGGGATCAAGCTTCATTGGTGCTGTATGTTCAAGGGGTGAAGAAAATTGCCATCCATCTGTTCCTCCGCTGTGAGATCACCGGTCAGCTTTGGTGTGATACCTTCTCACTACTTGAGTTATGTTACTGATGTAGAGCTAGATCCATGATTTCTTGGGATTGGAATCACGAGGTTCACTAACTCGCAAAACTTAGGTTTGTGCTGCCAACTAACAATGGATGTTATGGATGGTTTAGTTTATGGAAATCTTCAACAATTAGCATTTTGTGAAGTATAAGAAAGGTTCTATGCTTTGGGGATTGAACAAAGTTTGAATCAGCTCAATTTCCAATGTAGTTGATTGCAAAAATTGAAAAGAAAATTCTACTCCATTGCTTGTGGACAACAAGAAATGTGTTGGTGTTCATTTAATGGTGACATGATAGGCAGGCTTGGTTAAGGACTGGTATGGCAGAGATTTAGGCAGGAGGGACTGTGAATAGTACCCCATTGGTTTAGGATTGTGTAACATTAAATCTTTACCTTCTGAAAAGATTGGGCTTCGTGACTTTGGGTTTTTAGGACAAACCGAGTGGATTGAAATGTGTGATTCAAGCACAAAAGTGTGAGGAAGAAGAAAAAGAACAACATGAAGGAAAAGAAAATTCTAAGAGTTCCATCTACCATTCCCACGAATCATCCTCCAAGGTAATGTTGCATAAAGCATCACACAAACCTTGAAAAGTCTTGAGCAGATTTTGAAAACTCTATTTGGTGGAATCAAAGAAATGAAAACTATATTTGATGGTGCAAGAGTCTCCTAAATTCATGGTTTTAAAAAATGGCCGTTATGGCACGTAACGGCCGTTATGTAACAGTATCAGCGACCTCCGATTCTGTTACAAGCCGATTTAACGGATTGAAAAAAAATTCACACCTATAATAACGTCGTAACGGACGTTACAATCCGTTGCGGCGCCGTAACGACCCTTCCTCATCTGGGTATATTTAAATTTTTAGTTTGGCAGCCAAAAAGGGAAGATCTGTTACTCTGTTCAGATTTAAACGGGAGGAAGAAGAGATCTAAACCTCATAGAACACCTGTCTATTAAATTTGTTCTTGTGGAATTTTGTGGCTGATGTTTATAATTTTATATACAAGAAGTTGTAGAGATGGGTCTTCAACTTGAAGAAGATGAAGTGGAAATGATTGGGTGCAATACACTCAAAAGAAGTTTGGAGTGTGAATGGTTATGATTCATCAGTTTTCATCATTGATCCACTTGATTCCATCATGGCTGGCCACGCGACTAACCCCACTCCACAAACACACAGAAATAAGAAAAGGAATTGCCACTTACCCACCAAAAAAAAGAAAAAAAAAGAAAAAGTGTTGCCAGTAAAGACACATGCCCAAAAATATCCTTCAAATAGACATGTGTGCCAACTTAGACTAATTCTTTTTTAAAATTTGGTTAGGACTAATTATCTAATTTAACAAGTTAAAATTAAGTCTATATTATAAAAATTATTAAAGATAATAAAAAGACACTAAGTTTATTAAAATTAAGTCTATGTCTTGTTTTTAGGGGAGATGTGAATGATAAAAAAACATTCAAGTTTCCAATTTTCGTTATTGTTAATGCTTATTCAATATTATACATATTTTTAACGCCTCATTAACATGTTAATGTATAATAAAATACACTAAACACTCGTATTTGTATTATCTTATAGTTGAAACATGTAAATATTTATGTTTTATAGGTATTGTGAGTCGAAAAAAAAATTCACGTCTCTGATTTCCATTATTATTACGTAACGCCCGTTTCACCCTGCGTCCGTTACATCGTTACCATTACCGTTATTCAGAACCATGCCTAAATCTACTAGTACTATGACTCCAACTTGGAAAACTTTTAAGCATTGGATTCTAAGACTGTTTTGGAATAACTGTGACTCCAATTAACGAAATCTTGACTTATTCATCACGGAATCTCAACCTGAATGTGTCTCGAGAATTCATTCATAATAAGGGCAAAAAAGATAAGGACTAAAAGCCAATCCTTAATATAATCAAACAAAGGTTTAAGTCACTTGTTTCACATAGAGTGTAGACACAAACCCGTTATACATGTCTTTTATGATATCAATATATCTTTTGTAACTCCATTTTCCCCAAAATATAGCATATTATGCCTCTAAGAATACTATTATATGAACAATGAAGACCTTTCTTCTTTCTCTATTTTTTTCGAGTCTCCTTAATAAGCATATGGATTCCATGACTGACCTATTGTATTGGGGATACGTAGACATAGGTAACCAGCAATCGAGCAAGTTGAAACGTGATGCGCAAAAAAACGACAAGGTCTTATGGGAAAAAAATAACGGGTGAGATGACGGCCTCATCATAGTAAGGCGCACATTTGAAATAATATGCAAATAATTGTTCCACTTATGCAAATTTACAATGTGGAATAGTGTGATCATTTAATCCCTCAATAAACAACCTTTATTCACAAATGTAGAGGCAAATTCCGTAGAAATTAGGAAAAAAAGGGTTTATAAAGTAAAAACATACTCTTATTTCTGTAAATAAATGTGTTTACATATAGGTGTCAAACTACTTTTTCTCAATTTGTCAAGACATTTTACTAGTCGTTATGATTGTATCAGACAACTTTGTTAACAAAGAAAATCCTTTGTTACCTAGTCCTTCTAAGCCTCTATAGGGATTCCATGAAAGATTTCCCTAGTTTCCTTTTGCTATAGTAAAATCTTTAAATTGAATATCATTGTTAGCTTAAAACTATCAGAAAAGATAATTTAAACTTGAGCTAAAATTGACAATACACGCTCTTAATATCACTCCATATAAAATTCTTTACTTGCCCCCATTTCTTTTACTACCCTACCCATAAAATGATACGTGTATTAGGAAAATCACGAAGAAGAGCCATTTTGTTGTTCCTTTTTGCTTGACCTAGAGTGCTTGGAAAGAGCTCAATGGGTATTATTGAGGGAATGGAAGTGAAAATTGACAAATTAAGTCAAAGCATCTTTCAAGACATTAGGATAACAACATTTAAAGCATAGGTAAATTTCAAGACATTAAGTGAAATGACACGAACTTCCTTGACAAACACAAAAAAACATGGGGCTCCGGACCAGCATCTAAGTGTGAGATTCATTAACGATTGTAAGAAAAAGAGTTTCCTACCCTTTGTTTGAATGTGTTAAAACTAAATACATTGAGATAGAGTTAAAACCATGTCCAAGCCCATACTGAAACCTAAATCGCACAACCAATCCCTCTTTCCCACACACCTACTCACTATCATAGATACAGACGCGTATTTACACACAAAGGGGTATAAAAAGCTAGATTGTGGAGGGAAAGTAACACATTGCGGCATCTAACAGAATATTAGTTAAAAACAAAAGTAACACATTGCAGCATCTAACAGAATCTTAGTTAGTAACAACTCTTCCTTTATCATCGACTTGGGTGTTGTTGCGAGTTTAGAAGCAGTGGTGGTAAGTTCCATTTGGCTTAAAATTTTGAGATAGTGCCCTGGTAAGTTCAAAGATGGTCATATGGTGATGAGCTCTCTCTCAAATTGCCCAACACGCATAACATGTCCCCCCACCCTCTTCGCAAAATAACTCTGACACACCATATCATACACACATTGTCATAGGTTGTGTTGGTGGGTGTCTCTCTCTCCCTAGATTGAACTCAATCAATCCACAAATTTATCTAAAACCAACAACATTGGATTGAGCCCAGCAACCAACCTACCCCCATTAGCAAACCTTATAATTGAAAGAAGTAGAGGGAAAAGTATGAAGGGATAGTGCTTCATATTTTACCAGAGGTAGTGGGATCATTGGTGTTTTGGTGGATGGTGCTATGACTTTGTGGTGGAGAATATGATGGGTGGCGGCAGTTTGTATCACCAAAGGTGGTGAGGGTGATTATTAAATTAAGAACATAATTATTGGACAATTCATAAGATTAATTTTGTATTTGTTTAACTAGTTATGAAGTTAAAAAATAACAATGAATTATTACTTTTACAATTAGTTTAATATTGTTGGATAAATAATTTTTAATTTTGTAATTACCATGGTGATTAAGAAAACTATTTATTATGGGGGATAAATTGTCTATTAGACATTATTTTAGGAGAAATAATGTCATAGAAGTATACATCTCATTAAAAAAATGGTATTTTTAAAAATTCATGAATTATTCTGACTGACGTCATGGTTTTTCATTAGGGTTTATAACGTGAGTTAAATGGAAGGAATCTGTTTGTAATTGTTGCCAATGTAAGGTATGGTCTTGTCATTTTTGGAATGTCTACAATCACCATGTCATTTCATGATTATATAACATTTCCAAGTTATTTAAGAATGGGCATTGATGCAAACAATACACTAGCAAAGGAACTGATTATGAAAAGCATGCACAAGTTGTAATATATTTGAGACACAATTAGATGTTTATTTATTAATGAGGCCTAAATGCGGTGATGTTTATATTTTACTTGAGGAGAATTATCCTCCAAACTCTAGGGAAAAGCTACCACCATAGCTGCCCACGTCGGTATGGATTCCTAGACGAAGTAATCAAACCAATAAAGAGTTGATCCCATAAGCAAGGAATGAAATTGTGTCAACAAAGAGCCTCAACAGCAGCTCTTAACCCACACTCTTGTTGAAAATATAGCAAATGAATCAGCACATTAAACTAGAAAAAGTTAGGGATTTGGCATGGGATATGTTCCATCCATTCTAGATAAGGAGCCATGTGTTCTGAAATTCAACACAAACAGTACTTTTAAGGCTTCTGGAATCAACAAAAATTTCTCAACAAAAGAATAGAAAATGGAGATCTTGTCAAATTCATCTTGGTTGTTTTGCACGTACACACAAACAACACATGATTGGAATTTTTTCCAATTCAGAGAACATGACTCCAATAGTGTATTGGCACAAGAAAAATTACCACACAAGATTCAATTAGCAAGACCACGAAGCTTCTAACTATTGGACTATATTGACATTGTAATCTTGAAAAGAACTAGCTCCCTCAATAAAAAAGGTAGCACATGCAAGCTGTTGTCTTGTCTGATAAACAGTCTGAAAAATATGATGGAAGCATCAAAAGGAAGCATTGAACAAAGCAAACAAGCGAGAAAAGACTAGGATGCATACTTCGGAACAAGTGATTCTCTAGGCTTCCTCGGAACATAAACTCATACACAAGTAACCTGTGATCATCCTCGCAGCAGTATCCAATCAGCTTCACCAGATTAGGATGCCTGAGCTGCCCCAGAAAGTTCACCTCCGTCTAGGACAGGGGAAGGATCAAATCATGAAAAGTAGAGGTTTAGAGAATTGCTGAGACCCCCAATACCGCACACGTATGACAGAGCAGCGAAACGTAGTAAAAACACTGGCTTACATAATGTATAAAGAGAAAGAGAACCCTGAACAGAAGAAGAAAAGAACTTACAAGCCATTCGCGGTGGCCCTGAAGACCCTCCTTGTTGAGGACCTTGACAGCAACGGGGAGAGATTTGAGGCCAACCCTCACATTTTCGTCAATGTAGCCCTTGTAGACGGTTCCAAAACCGCCCTCGCCAAGAATGTAGTCAGAGCGGAAGCTCTTGGTGATGGTCTCGAGTTCGAATAGGGTGAAGGCGATGACATGGGTATAGAGCACGGCGTTCTTCCTGGAGTCCTCAAAGGTGCGTGGGGTCGAAGGATCGCTCAGATCTGAAGTGGAACGACTGTGTTTCCTCTCAGGACCTGGATTTCTTCCGGCCACGGATAACATCTGGAGCTGCTGAACTGCCCATTGTGTTTTTTAATTAATGAATTAATCAATTACTTAGTTTAAACAACAATTCCTCAAAAATCGAAGTGAAACAGAATGGCATTTCATGGAGTGAAATTATTAAAAAAAAGAACTTTAAAGAAAAAGTGAAGTAATTGGAACGAAAAGGAAAGCCGAGGACGGAATGCTCTAGATCTGGAAGAAAGAGTGAGTGAGAGAGTGATAATAGTAGACTGCAGTCAAAACAAAAACGAGAGAGAGATTGAAAAGAACCTTGATGGTGAGCATTGGAAACAACAGGAGATTCCTCTCTAGTGCCACAATTTCCCATCTTCTTCTTCTTGTTCTTCGGCTGCTGATGACTGATGTGGGGCTCCTGGATTTTCTGTCCAGATGGCGCCGAGTCTCATTCTTCGGCTACCTCCTCCGCCCCTCCCCCTTATTTTTTTTTTTCGCCAACAAAAAAGTTCGTGACAACACACTAATCTTATACTTTAAAATTGTACCATCAATAACTAAAAAAAAGAAGAAGGGAGAATTACATTCATATCCCTTGAAATTTATCATTTAATTAATTAGACCCCTTAACATTTGAAATATTACATACAGATTTCTTGAGGTTTGTACGTGCATAACACTTAGACCCCTGCTATAAATATATCCATTGATAAATTACACTTAGACTTTCGTAAAGTTTATAGGTATATAATACTTAGATCCCTTAAGTTTAAAATATTATACTTAGACAAAAAATATTTCAATTAAAGATAGAATATCAAATATTTTAAATTTTATAACTAAAATTTCTATTATATTGTATCATTTATTGAAATAAAATAAAAAATAAAAAATTAATTTTTTTTCCTTTAAAAATTGTAATTAATATACAATTATACTATCTATTAGAATAAAACTAAAAAAAAATCAAATAAGGGGTCTAAGTCATTCATAATAGAATATAAATTTTTTATTGAAAATTCATGTTCTATTATGTCATTTATTGAAATAAAATCAAAAATAAAAATTTAGTTTTTTTACAAAAAAATCATAATTAGTATATAATTATACTATCTATTAGAATACTAAAAAATTAAATAAGTGGTGAAACTGTAATGGACATAATATTTTTTAGCTTTAATTGGGATAGTTTGATATTTTAATTTGATCATTTAAACGATCAAGTTAAATTCCAATAGACAATATAATTGTATACTAATTACGATTTTCTTAAGAAAAAATTAAAATTTTTATTTTTGATTTTATTTCAATAAAAGATAAATAGAACATGAATTTTAATCGTAAAATTTAAAATATTTGATATTTTATCTTTAATTGAAGTATTGTTGGTCTAATTATAATATTTTAAACTTAAGAGATCTAAATAATATATGTTTACAAACTTTAGGGTTTAGTTATAATTTATTAACTAATATATTTACAGTAGGGGTCTAAGTGTTACACGCGTACAAACTTTAGGAGGTCTGTGTATAATATTTTAAATATTATAGGGTTTGAGTGATTAAGTGACAAATCTCAGGGAGTCTAGATGTAATTCTCCCCAAAAAAATTCTTTCCATCCGTTTTAATTTTTAATTGTTAAAATAAAGGATTAATTATTTGTCAAAGTATGAAATTTATTTTTTAATATTTTAATTGCATCATTTTAGTCCTTAAAATGTTAAATATATTTCTATGAGGTCAGCGTTCAAATTATTAACGATTTTTTATTATAAATTTGTCACGTGATAATTAAATATTGACAAAAAAATAATTTAGATAATTCTTAAATTTCTACTTAAATTTTAGCCAAAAAGCTATCCAACTAACACAATTTTAATCCTGAGCTATCCAAATTTTAGTCAAGAGTTACCCATATTATACATTGTTTGTAGAGAGCTATCCAAATTTTGATCAAGAACTACCTAAATTTTTTTGTCCATATTTAAATAGCATGTGATAAATTTATGATAAAAAATTATTCGTAATTTAGATATTATCTGCTCGAAAGATCACATAAAAATATATTCAATACTTTAGGGACTAAAATTATGCAATTAAAATATTGATGACTAAAATGAGACAAATTCTATATTTTAAGGACCTTCAATGCAATTAACCCTAAAATAAATGGAGGAACTTTAAGGACAAGATAAGAATTTTGTTTTAACTTTATCTATATCTATACTACTTCTAAATGTACACTTATTGAACAAACTTTTGTTTCACTCTTTTACCCTCTGACAACTTTTAAATATCTAAACTACCATGCACTTGAATGAATATTCATTATAAAATATATTTATTTATTGTTTAACCTTTCATGTCTCTCTTTTTATGCTCATACCCATCTATATCTATATCTATACTTGTAAATTTATATCTATATTATTACTTATAAAAACGTTTCATTTTCCTAATTAAATGTTTGTGCACTTAGTACACTTTTTGGATGGCAATAGATTAAACTTTGAAGAAATGAATAATAAAAATATTGAATTAAACTTTTCACATTCTCTCTTAAACCGAAAGGTTTGAGAAAATCAATGGAATTGAAAGGTTTCCAATCAACTGGTGATAAACACAAGTGGTTGATTTCTTTGTGTTTCGTATTCTCTCTTATTTCCCATATTACTGTGTACAAAAGGCCAAAGGACACCTATATACTCCCCAATTATGTGAAATTTCTTTTCTCTCACCACTTCACCAAGCTTTCTCTTTGATTTTTTTTTAATCTTTTGAGTGTGATATATTGTATGTCTAGGCATGTGTTTCCCATGTGTAGGCCTGATTATTATTTCCTTCACCTTCTAATTGGTGTTTTTGCATTTTGATGGCAAAGAACCCCAGCATCGAAGCTTGACAACGAAGAAAAATTGATGAAGAGGAATTCGATGTGACGTATGTCCAAAATTGGCATGTTCTTAAATTAGTTGTTTAGTATTGAGTTTGTTTGGATAAATTTTAGGTAAATTAAGTGAATTTGGTGGATTTGATGAAGTTGAATTTGTCAATTGAGTAACAAACATACCCATCAAATAATGGTTTCCTCACTTACCGATAAAAACAATGGGTGTTTTGTCTATTATTGCTTCCAGCTCCACAACTTTCATGTACAAGGTCGTATTATCTATTGCATTATAAAACAAATTACATGTGGTCAAATTTAGTTATTCTTCCTTTACTCATAAGTCCATGCCTATATTGTACGATAAGCATCCTACGTTTTAGTTACTAATGAATTTTTCCTTGTAAAACTTTGTTGAGGGCAAAGCGATTGCTCTTTTTCTAAAAGTAGTGTTGTTTTTAATTGGGTACCTTTTTATTGTTTAGTTCCTCAGATTCTATGTTCTCTGTCCTTTACATTATAGATTTTGGAATCTCTGATTAATAAATAGGAATATTAATGTCTAGCTTGGAGGTAGGACAGTAGGAGTGAGAAGATAAACAATGGATTCTTATTGTGCCAAAATGAAGGCTACTATGCACCCATTGCAAGTCAGCAAAGGTTTTAGTCACAGAGACCATGGTTTTTGGGGGATGAAGATCAAGGTGAGTCCAACGAACAGGGCATTTAGCACTTAGTTGTGGAGGAACTTGAGAAGTGAAAAAAGGCTTAGAAAGGGTAAACCAAGGGTTACCTTCTTGGTTCTTACAAAAGACATTAACAGAAAGCTCCTGGTGAATACATAACATATATTTATCAAGATTTTATATTATTCTTTATGACATGCATTGGATTTTAAGAAGAGGGTGTGGATTCAACTCAAATCAAATATTATTATTTTTTGAATATTGTTAACATCGCTATGAATGTGTAATATTCATGTGAAAATTTTTCTATTTAAGTCTCTTATTGGTTTCAAACTTTTGAAGCACCAATAGTTGATCAGCCAAAGGTAGACCCAAAAACTGTAGCATTGATCATTCTGGGTGGAGGTGTTGGGAGTTGCCTCTTTCCTTTTATTGGAAAACGTTCAAAATCAGCTATAAGAAAAACGGCCACATACTCTTCCCCTTCATTAATTTTTCACTATTTAATTTGATTTTAAATCATTTTGATCAATTGCTGGGGGTTAAATTCTTTGAAGTTAACTTTAGCTTAAGAGAATGGAGGAGCATTAAGCCTAAATAAATAGTTTAACTCTGGTTGAAAATCGCCCCCATGCCTGAAATTATACAACACAGGAAGATTTTATGTTGAAACTCTTTAAAATTCTACAATAACACATGATGATGAATTTCTAATATTCTTTGTTCCAACAACATGTTGATTTGGTTTTGTTTGCAGGTTCCAATTCGAGAATGTTACCAACTAATTGATGCACCTATGAGTAACTGCATCAATAGTGGCATAAAAACTTTTTATTCTTAAATACAATGATTTTTGATTTGACATGTCTTGAAGATTAGTTAAAATGGGAGGGTTATATAGATTTTGATGCTTCATATGGTTGGATGCCATAACGGAAGCAAAAGCTAAAAAGGTGAATACGTAGAAGACTATAATGCTGACATTATGTAAGAATCTGTTTTACAGGGAACACTACAAACTCTCCTGAAAACCTAACTGTTATCATGTACCACGCCATTAAATAAACTACCTAAGCAGTTTGGAGTGTTTCCAATCCAATTGATTGATTGCTCTAAAATTTTACTTTCAATTCAAATAGATAATATACAGTTTAAAAATGCATATTTGAAGTACAAGTAAAAATGGTATTTAAAAAGTGTTACCAAAGAGTACATAAGTTAACATAATAATGCATAACTCTTATTTACTAAATCTATGTTTTCTTCTACCTGTTCCAAACATTGAAAAATAAGAAAATGTTTAAAAACAAAAAATTTACACGCAAATTAAGAAAAGAGAAGCATGTTGCACCAAGAAGTTCATCTTCAAAATAACCATCCAACCAAAAGTCTCTAGCTCCTTATATCCATATTTCCTCCTTGCATGCATGACTACATTCAATTAAAATGACCATCCAACCAATAGTCTTTAGCTCCTTGGTTTCATATTTCCTCATTGCATGCATGACCACATTCAATTAATCTAATGGTTCTTCATTTTGTTTTCTCAAGTACACCATGCATTTTTTTTGACCTTCTTTGTTTTCTTAATCCGTTTTCGTTTTGACTTTACTTGTGGAAGAATTGCAAGTGTTTGTTCAAAACAAAAAGCCCTCATTACCAATCTACTTTTTTCTTTTGTCTTCCATGTCCCTTATCTTCCATGTGAAATAAATTATGTATACACACTTTTATTTTATATATATACTAGTTATAACTCGTGCCTGAAGGCACGATAAAGTATAAAATTTGAGTGCCCAAAAAATCGATCTCATTATATTAAAATTTTTCAACATGTGTATATTATTGTATATGGATAATGTTTGAAATAAAAATTATATTAACTATAAATTAATCAAATATTAAATAATTAAATATA